CTTCAGTGCTTTCAGTATCATGGCCAACTTTTCACTTTGGTGTGCAGATTCAGACTCACGTCTTCATGAATATGCAGCAATTGATCCCACACATTAAGCTATCTCCCAAGCTTAAAATACAATATTTTTACATTTACTTATTTGTGTGTGTGTGTGTGTGTGTGTGTGTGTGTGTGTGTGTGTGTGTTTGTGTGTGTGTGTGAAGGTTAGAGGACAATTTGTAGGAGTCTCTTCTCTTCTTCTCTTCTGGGAATTGAACTCAGGGCATCAGGCTTGGCAGCAAGTGCCTATAATCACCAATCCCATTTTTAATGTGCATTTTTAAAGTGGCGGAATAAGCACAGGAAGGTAAAAATACCTCAGATCACAAAGCAGCCTTGGCTCAGTGTTGACAGGGTTCTCTGGATTCAATGGAAAAGGGCACAGTGCGTTCTTGCTGTCTGCCAGGGATTGGTTCCAGGGCACCTTTCCATACCCAAACTCGAAATATGAGGATGCTCAAACCCATAGATAAAATGGCTTAATATTTCCCTAAAATCTGTGTGACCCTCTCTTGTACTTTACATCATCTCTAGGTAATTTATAACACCTAATAGAATGCAAATGCTATAAATAGTTGCCACACTCTATTGGTTGGAATAATGACAAGAAAAGAGTCTGTACATGTTCAGTACTGAGGCAGTTTTCACTTCCTGATATTTCCATCTTGAGACTGGTTGAATCCAGGGTGACAAAGAGCTGACTGTACTTTCTGTGTCTGCTGGAGGCGTGAGGAGGTGAAGTGGTAACTGCATCATCTTTGGTCCATCGAAATGATTTGCAGAGGTGTTTGGGGTTTAAACCCAGATCAAGAAGTAACTTGGTCTGTTTTACATTTATGAAACAGTTCCTAATCTGCAAAACGGAATGCACTGGAGGAGGGGCAATCTTGATAGGAACCGCAAGAACGGATAATGGAAGGCAAGTCCTAGTAATCCCGGCCCTTGGAGGCTGAGGCAGGAGCATTGCTTTCACTTCAAGGACAGTCAGGGAGAGGTGCGTGTGTGACATGTACAAAGTGAGTCAGTCCCCCTCCCCCACCAACTCGGACCAGATACTATTCTAATGAGATATGTTATGTATATTAATCCTTTCAACCTTTCTAGGTAAAAAGGATACGTAATGCTCCTCTTAAAAAAGAATTTATATTTATTATTGTTATGTGTGCGCTGGGATAGAGGTATTTTTACCTTCCTGAGTTTATTCCACCACTTTGAATAAATATATTTATTATGTATATTATATTTGTGCAGGCAAGCTCATGCCAAGGTGCGCGAGCGGGGTCGCGTGTGGAGGAACAGAGCACAACTTGTGGGAGCCGCTGTTTTCCTTTCACTTTTTTGCGGTTGAGGGGGATCAAACTCAGGTGTCAGGCTCGCTGAGCCTTGTCGCGCTAGGCCACAGGTAATAGTCTTCTCTACAACGTGCGCTTTGGGGAATTGAAGCTTTGATCGGAATTTCGTTCAAAGACATCAAAAGAATATAAAGGAGATTTCCTAGGTTTCTGCTTCCTTAAGTCTGACCCAGAAATCCTTGTGTCCTCCTGCGACCCTCCTGCACCCTCTGGTGGCTCAAAGTGGAGCTGTCTCCTGGCATCCTTTGGGAGTGTGCACACTCAGTGGGCAAACACATTATGGACATTTTCAGGACTGGGAACGTGAAGTCTGGAGGACCAGAGAGCAGCTGGTACAGGGTTGGGGGCTAGTCGGAGGCGCCCACCGAGCCTGTTTCTAGCTCTGGGGACGTGGTTTATGGCTGGGCGGAGCCTTTCAGCTGGGGCGGGGCCAGCCTACAGGCCAGACGTGGCGCTGCGGCCGAGTTTGGGTGCAGCCTGCGGAACGTCTCCTGCCAAGCACAGATGAGCATCCTAGTGTGGCCGCCACCACTGCTGCTGCTTCTGGAGGCCCTTGTGGCTCCAGCCCCCGCCGCCACCACCTACCGACCCGACTGGAACCGTCTTCGAGGCCTGGCCAGGGGACGGGTGGAGGTGAGTGCGCCTTTTCCCATCCTTAGTACGACAGTTCCAGAACCCCGCAGCCCCTGAACCCTGGAATGCAGCTCACTCTGGCCTCAGGAATAGCAGAATCCCCGAATCTCCCCCGTTTCCCTCCTGCATGGCGCCGGGATCATCCCTTCTATTTTCCAGCCACAGAATGCACAGCATACACTGTGCGAGCAATAGAAGTCGACCTTGCGGCCTGGCACTCTGAACCCTTGTTCTGATTTGACCGTACCGTGGGTCTTTGGACACCCAGTCCTCTCTTTTCCAGGCTATAATTCTCCTAAAACTGCTCCTTAGAACTCCCCCCCCCCCCCCCCCCCCCCCCCCTCCCTTCCCCCACCCGGATTTTAGTGCCTGACGTTCAAGAGTTTTCTGGGGGAGAAAAGACCTCCTAAGCTCCTCCCCTCACTGGACTATGCCTGAAGCTGGAGGAGAGAGCAGGGAGATGAGATACCAAGGCATCTCAGCAGCCCTGGACCACTACACTCATCATTCCACCCCCGCTAAGGAATTCCCCTAGAGTCTTCTTAAGTGGTTCAGCTGCTTGCAGACTCTCCATGGGCCTTAGTTATTTTCTGAGAAAAAGGAATGTAAGGAAGGCTTGAAATAGGCAGTTGTGAGGTCTGGACTTCCTGTCAGGTGGTGGCCTCCCTTCAGGGAGTACAGAGGGTCTGGTCCACCCATCCTCCCTGGTCAGGCAAGGGAAGCCAGATGGTTTGTGGAGCTGGACCGCAGGTGGCTAGCAGGGCTAGCTCTGCATGGGGTGGGGTAGGGACCAGATGGCAGGTGCATTAATGGAGCCCTGAGGGCAGTTCTGAACTATTTCCTTCTGGTCTGAGTCTCCCATGAGGTTTCAAGGGCTAAAGGCCAGGTTTAGAACTCTCCTGGCAGAAAGGAGGATGCTGTAACATGTGTCTCCTGGGCATGGGTCAGCTACTGGTACCCTGCAGGAAGGACTAGTTCTTCTCCCTCATCCTTTACCCTGCCTCTCTAGGTCTGAGTTTCCTGACCTTGTCCACAGGACCTTTTCCTCCACACCTTGATGCTGCCCCTTCAGTGCACAGCCTGACCCAGCTCAGTGTTGAGGATAGCATGGTCTTGGCTGTATAGGGATGGACTCCTGATTTATCCCATTTTCTCTCTCTCCAGACCTGTGGAGGATGACAGTTGAATCGCCTAAAGGAGGTGAGTTTGAAGGAAGGGGTCCCCTTAGGGAATAAGCAACATTTGCTTACTGACTGGGGGGCAGGGAGGGATTCCTGCACTCTGAGACAGGAGACTGATCCTGACTTGCTATATGATCTCACTTCCCCACGTCTAGAAGGTTCTGAGGTCCTGTTTTCTAATGTTGTGGTTCCTCCCCAGGTGAAGGCCTTTGTCACCCAGGACATCCCACTGTAGTATCCTTCTGTTCTGGGGAAGGGAAATGCGGGGAGGGGCAGGAAAAGCTTCTGGTTTTCACAAAGATAGAAAGTGATTTTCCAGCTGGGTGTTGGTGGCATACGCCTTTAATCCCAGCACTCGGGAGGCAGAGGCAGGCGAATCTCTGTGAGTTGGAGACGAGCCTGGTCTACAAGAGCCAGTGCCAGGATAGGCTCCAAAGCTACAAAGAGAAATCCTGTCTCCAAAAAAAAAAAAAAAAAAGTGATTTTTGACTCGGGAGGCAGAGGCAGGCGGATCTCTGTGAGTTGGAGACCAGCCTGGTCTACAAGAGCTAGTTCCTCCAAAGCCACAGAGGAACTAGCCTGTCTCGTAAAACAAAAACAAAAGTGATTTTCGTCTGCCAAAGAGGTTGATATGGACTGTTCCAGTAGATTAATGGAGAGAAGGGCCCTTTACTTCTTTGAACCTTAATCTCACAGCCAGTGAGGATTGGGTCCCCACCTAGCCTCCAAGTAAGTGATCAGCTAAGGGGACCCAGGAGCCACCACCATTCTTTGCCTCTGCCCCCACCCCCTTAACATCTTGACTCCAGCCACAACCTGGTGATGAAGCACCTCCCTGGGGCAGATCCGGAACTCGTGCTTTTAAGTCGAAATTACCAGGAACTAGAGGTGAGGCTTTGGCGGGAGGGGTCCTGGGGCGGTGCTGAAGTGCTGACCCCGCCCTTTCTCCATTTCAGCGCATCCCACTCAGCGAAATGACCCGCGACGAGATCAATATGTTGGTACAGGAGCTCGGCTTCTATCGCAAGTCGGCGCCGGACGCGCAGGTGCCCCCCAAGCACCTGTGGGCGCCTGCTAAGCCTCCCGAGGACGCTTCAGAGCACGCCGACCTGTAACCCGTAACCCGTAGCCACAGTGGAGCTGGGACCCCCCTGCCAGCGATCTGGAGACAGAATGAAGCTCTCAGTATCCCGGGAGCATCTCCCTTGCTGAGGGCTGACACCAGCCTCCAAAGCAACGGAAGTGGGGTTGGGGGAGATGCATCTCATTCCTCCCTTTCTCCTTCCCAGCTCTACTAAATCCCTTTCCGCCATTACTGAGGGTCTTCTCTTTATTTGCTGCGGGTAGATGGTGTGGGAAATCAAATCGAAGTTCCTGAACACCCTAGGGTGACTCCTCCCACTGACTGGCTGTGGGAGTGGGATAATTCACAACCTGCCGCCATTCCCCAAGACAGCAGAGAGACATCGGGATCGTTGAAAACCAATAATTTATCAAAACGCTGCGTGTGTACAAGGGGGAGGGTTGTTTCGACAGACCGGGCAGCAGTGGCCAGGCGCACTGGGGGCGGTGGAGGGACGGTGCTGGGGTGGGGACAGCCTGCAGCGCGGGCCGCGGGGTGTGAGCAGAGTGGCTAGACATTCTTGCCGCGCAGGCGCAGCTCATGGCGCCGCAGGTGGTTGTACAGCGATTGCACATAGGTGAAGACGCATTTGGGGTCGGGCTTTTTGCCCATGATCATCATGTCCTCCACCTCCACCAGGGGCACACAGTCCACCAGCATCCTGCAGGGGAAGGGGCACAGGAGTTGTCGTCAGTGCTGGACTGCTTTTTGCTGTGCACCTCTACCCCGAGGTCTTTTCTCTGCCACAGCCTGTTTGTCTTTTCATAAACTCCAGACTGTCCACCAGTTAGAAACACTTTCCAGGAAGGGAAAGCCACATCCAAACCCAGGGGCCATCCTGCCCATAGGCTAAGCAGGTAGAGGATAAGATGGTGCTGGGGAGTGAGCCATACCCCACCTCAGGCAGGCAGGTTCTGACTCTAGACCCCCAACTCCTCTCGGGAGAGCCCATCTGCTCACGCACTGGTATAACCCAGTTGGTAGAGTCTCAGCTAAGTCATTGTACTAGGATTCCCTAGTGACCCACTTTCTCCTAGGGGACAGGTCTCCTACTGGAAATGGAGGCCAGGGGGTATGTCAGGGTGCTCTTTTCACATTTATCATCTATCTGCATTGGGTGGACCAAGGGAAGCAGATGAGGACCCCAGTCGTATCAGCTGGATCAGCTACACCCCACTGCTTGATCAGTGGTGCAACGCTCTTCCGATTCTCCTTCTGTGCTGCAGCCTCGCAGATCAGAGGGTGCCAGGATGAACCTGGTATGGGATACAGGTCCTCAGCCCTGGTGTTGGCAAATGCCCAGAGCTCCCCTTTCCCTGCTGTAGGCACCTATCCCCCACATCTTAAAGAAGGGGTGCAAGTTTTACTTCACCTCTAGTCCCAAACTAAGACAGGAGTCTCTTCTGCTTTGCCTCCTGTTTGCACTGGTCCCACGCTACTGTTGCTCAGAAAGTTTACTTAGGCAGAGAAAGCAAAGGCAGATTGCTGCTGTTCCCCAGACATGGGATAACCCAAGATTCTCTTCCCATCTGGTACCGTCATGGTCAAACCCATTTTTGCATTTTTGTGGTACTGGAGATTCGATCCAGGGCCACACACTTGAGACACAAGCTCCCTACCACTGGAGTCTCAATAAATTGCTGGGGCTAATCTTGAAATCACTCTGAAGCCCAGGCAAGTCTCGAATTGGCGATTCTCCTACCTTGGCCTCTCATGTAGTCGGGATCACAGCCCAGCTCCTCACCTCCTCCCACTCTCCCCCCCCCAGGAACAGAAAAATTTTGTCCTGGTTCTATCTCTGATCACTCGTGAATGCTGGATAAAACTCTGCCCTCTTTTGTGATCCTAACCTTCCTGCCCTTATTAGTCATCCCCAACCTCATTTGAGACCTTGGAAGTACTCAGGGTAAGTGACAGGTACCTGGCTCTACAGATGATGGGCTATGTGCCCTTGGGGTCATCCCCACCCCATGTTTGGCTTGTTTACCCAGCTGTACCATGGTGAAGAGACAGCCTCTCTCTGGCGCATCTTCCAACTGCAGCTATCTTCCCAAGGATCCCAGCCTCCCTTCTCCCAGTCTGGAGCTCCCTCCTGCCGTGCCTTCCCTGGAGACCTTATAAAGCCATTGTTTATACTGGGGTACATGGTTCAGGCTACCCAAGTGACAAGCCAAACACCAAGCAACTAAAGCAACAGCACGTAGCTGAGTCACACTTTCCTACTGGATCAGTGCTACACTAAACCCCTTTCTCTTTAGAGAGGCCTTCTGAGCAGCAGCTAAGTCCATATATGACCTAGAGACTGTACTGAGCCTGTTTTTCCACACCTGGACCTCAGAGTGTGTGTTCACACATGCTCCCTGCCCCTCCCCAGGGACCCTGACCCAGGAGGGTACCCAGTGCATCCTTGTTGACTATCTCTGAGTCAGATATCTTCCAGCAATCCCTTTGGACCTTCCAGTTCCCTTTAGACCTCTGTCTTTACTTCGGCCCTAGCTCTGATCACTTGGGGATGTTGGACAACCCTCTGTCCTCTTCTGTGACCCTACCTCTGCTTCCCACTTACTTCTGTCTAAAAAACTGGTGGGAATACAGTGGTGGGGCTAGCAAAGGAACACTAAATGGAGAGTCTGGAATCATTCTGTGACCTGAACTTGCTTTTTGAATTCCTTATCTCTACTGGGACAGCCAGTTCAGGTCTGAATTCGCTATTGTGGTCCTGGGGTGAGATGACCAGAGAGGAAAGCCATATACAGCTTAGGGGATCCAGCCTGAAACATCTTTCTCTTGAGCTGGCCCTACTCCCAAGCTCCCCATTTTGGAGAAGGTCACCACCAACTCCCCATATGGTACATTCTGAGTTTCATTGTGTTGGCCCTCCCTTTCTCCAGACCAGATCAGGGAGCCAGTCTTCCTACTTTTTTTTTTTTTTTTTTCTTAAGGCAGAGTCTTGTAGCCGGGCAGTGGTGGCACACACCTTTACTCCCAGCACTCGGGAAGCAGAGGCAGGTGGATCTCTGTGAGATGGAGCCCAGCCTGGTCTACAGAGTGAGTTCCAGGATAGCCAGGACTACACAGAGATATACTGTCTCGAAACATTAAAGACAGGGCTCCTGCATGCTGGGATTGCAAACGCATACTGCCACGCCTGTCCCTGTCCCCTCCCTCTACTTCTGATGCTGTTCCATCTTGAACATCTCAAGTTTCACTCAAGGATTGTTTTAGAATGCTAGCCTGAGTGCAATTCTCCTGTTTGGATGCCTTTGACTCCTGGGTCCTCATAAGGAAGTTCACACTCAATCTGTGGTCTCTTCCTTCCACCTCTCATCAGATCCCTTCCTTCAAGGTTATGCTATATTCTCCATCTCTCTTGTCCCTTGCCTGACCCTGTGCCTGCAGCTCCTTCTCCTTCAGTCTGAACTGTCTGGATCCCAGTTTAGTTTTCTCTTTTTTATAGATTGCCATCCTGGGCCTGAAGCCTGAGTCTAGGGCCTCATGGGCTCCCCTATCAGTCTTTCCCCCTTGTCATCACTACCCATTGGCAATAGTGTCACTTAGGGTCCTGCCTGTCTCCTTTGGCTTTTCCAAGGCTCCCCCTGTACTTCCCCCTAACCCCTAACCCCTCTTTGTGTACTGATGAGCAGATTCCGGTGAAATGGAACAGGTGGGAGAGGAGACATTTCTCACCGTGGGGCCCCAAGCAGGGGTTAGGACTTTTTGGTTTTTACCAGCCCCTTCTGGACCAGACAGCGGTAGAATTCCTGGATGTACGTGTACACGCACTTCCAGTCAGGCTCTCGAAGCCGCACCATGTCCTCTGTATCCAGGAGCTGCGGGCAGTCCGCATGGGTCCTGGGGAGGGTAGGGGGCCAGGAAGGGGCAAGGGGCAGGACCCGGTGGAGGAAGGAGGGAGAGAGGCCAGGAGAGAAGGGAGGACAGAGACACACACACACACACACACACAGAGACATGAGTTCAGTTATGTTGTCAGTGCCGCAGTCTGCCAGCCTCCCGCATGCCCCTCCCAATGGTGGACGTGCCGCTCACTACCCATCACTAATGGTGTGCGGTGCAGACAGGGGTGGGGGGGGCAAACCAGTCACAGGTGCAGAGAACTGTTGGGGCAAGCAGGGACACAGGGGGAAGGGGGGGGCAGCAGCTTCAGTGCTGAAGTTGGAGAGGAGGGCTGTGCCCCAGGGAGGGGGGGTGAGGGAGGCGTGAGAGGAGTGGGGGAGGAGGAGGAAAAATCCTGGAGGGAACCGGAAAGAGAAGGGGAGAATAAGAAAGAGATGGAGGAGGGTGCTTGGGTGCAGTGTGCAGAAGGGGCAACGATTCCAAAGTGGAGGGCTTTTGATGTCCTATATAGGCCTATATAGGTCACTCGGGCATGGTGCCTGGGCCAGGAGCCTCCTTTTGGAATCTCCAGCCGGGATCCCGTGGGAGCAGGAAGCTCTGGTGACAGTGGGAGGAGAGCAGGACAGAGAAATGGAGAGAGGAGGGATAGGGGCAGAGGGAGGAGGGAGAAGTTATGGACAGGGCCACCTGGTGGGCTGTAGCCTGGGTTGGTAGGCGAGCCTGCCGCTCCTTCCTTCCGGTGGGCACCTGGCACACTCAGCAACAGGTGGGCATGGGATGGAAACTCTCTGGGGAAGGGGGGTCTCATCTGCAGACCCACAGTACAACTGGCCACTTCCATGGGGTCTCAGGGCTGCTGAGCCCACTGACAACAGGAGGAAGGGGGCCCAAACCACACTTACTCAGCAGATGAGAAGGCCATTTCAAAGTTCTGGCGCCTGTTTTGTGGGCTAAGCTGCCCATAGTCAAAAGCCTCAGGGAAGAAATTGTGCACCAGGGCACAGAAGGCCATCCCATCACTCCAGCTGGAGGAGAAGTTCTGGATGTCCACATGCTATGGGAGGTAGGAGCATTGGTCAGGACATTGGAGGGCAACCTTCCCATGTTTGCTAACCCTTGCCCCCACCCCAATGTTTTAGCACTCCAGCCCTATGGCAACTGGGCTCAGACAGACCTTGTAGCATGCTCAAAGCCATACATTAGATGAGCAGTCAAAACATGAGCCTCTTCCAGTTCGGTTTATGAACCCCAGAGCTGTGATTTTTTAGGGGGCGGGCTACTGAGAAGCCCAGTGCCACTTAGCAAAGACAATGGTCATGTTCCAGTCACCCCCTTCCCTCATTTATATTTACTCTGTGTAACACTGAACGGACTCCAAGAGCAGAATCCATCCTTGAGTCATGCCCAACAGCCCAAAGGGCCTTCATTGGTCCCTTCTGGGATCCAGAGCAGGACACGTGGTCTCTCTGATACTTAGTTTTCTCATCTGAGCATGTTTTTCATGTTTCCTGCCAGAGCACATGGTAGCTGTGAAATAATTCTAAGGAGCAGTTACCAAGCTGATTTGTTCTGCTGGGCTCACCTCATAGCCACGGGTCTTAGCTCTGCACCAATCCAGCAACATCTGCTTGATGCTATTGGCATTGGGAACTCCGAAGCTGGTAGAACGCTGTACAGCTGTCCGGGGTGTGCCAGGACTGCTGTGGGGGTAGTGTGTGAGGAAGGGCATGAGACTCCATTAATGGGTCAGCCTACCCTCCCTGGTCTAATCTTCCATGGCCTTCAGCCTTTCTATCACAATCGGAACCCTGCCTCTCCCATTTCTGGCTCCACCCACTGGGCTTCAGGCCCCATCCCCAATGCCCAGACCATCCCCACCGGCCAGCCCATACCCTCCACGACTCACCCTGCAGAGCCTTCTTTCTCTAGTTTCTCAATCATGGCTTTGCGTGCTTGGGATGCTGAAGTCTTGGGCAGACTCTGTGCCTTCATTAACTCTTTCTTTTTCTCTGCCTGGCGTTTCTCAAGGGCTGCCAGGCTGCCGGGACGTGGGCTGGCTTGGTCTTCTCGGTCAAAGATGCTGGAGAGTGACAAAATGAATGTTAGGCTGGAGGGAGACTGGGGTCCATTCTCTTGGCTCTAGACCATGATCATTAACTTGCTGTTGTTGGTATTGGAAACACTGAAACTGGTGCAGCTCTCTGTACAGTTGCACAGGGCTCTCCTTGGCTGCTATGGAGCAGTGTTTAGGAGAGATCTTATACGGCATCAGCTACCACCAGCGACTTCCACTAACAAATGAAGAAGGGGTTGGGGGAGTAGCGAGCAGGTAGCCCTCACAGTGGGGAGTGGGTGTCCTTGTCACACCCACTTTACAGAGCAGTACATAGAGGCACAAACACAGGAGGTTGGCAGCCTAGCTTGTTTGATCAGGCTTGGTTCCCAGGACTTTTCTAGGGGGTGTGTTATACTGCCAAGTTCTAGGCAAGCTCAGGACCTAGGAATTATCAAGTAATAACAGTGAGCCAGACCTTGTGGCACAGGCTGATCATCCCAGCTACTAGGGAAGCTGAACCAGAAAGACTGCAAGTTCAAGAACCATCTGAGCTATGAACTGGAGGACTTAGGGGAACTCTTGTCCGAAAAAAATGAAAGGACAGGGATGTAGCTTACTGGTAAGGAAGCCCCCAGTACCTAAGCCAAACAATAAAGAGTAATGAAGTGAGCAGCACAAAAAAGTAATAGTAGCAGCTCACTCCTCTTAAGACTTTACTGTCCTTTTATTACTTCTAGTGCTGGGGGAAGGAATCCAGGGTCTCTAAGCAAATGCTCTACAAATGAGCTACGCCCTCAGTCCCCCCACTGTGCTATTTAAACACCACGAGGGACTTTGATCTGTTGGTGTGCTCCTGGAATCCCAGAACTCTGGCGGTTGAGGCTGGAGGATCACAAGTTCAAAACCAGCCTGGGACACACTGTGAGACTCTGTCATGTGCCCACCTTTCCCCACATTGCAAAAAATTTTAAAAAATGCGGGTCTGTAATTCCAGATACTTAGGTAGGTGAGGTAAGTTCATAACCTGCTGGACCAGAGGGAGGTCAACGTTCAATATAGGCAAATTTAGGAAGAGACCCTGCCTCAAAGTAAAAAAGTAAAAAGAGGGTCAGCGATGTAGCTCAGTGGTACAGTGCTTGCCTAGCAAACACGAGGCCCTAGATCCTAATACCCAGTAGTGAGTGCGCGTACATGTGTGCATATGTGCGCACGCGCGCACACACACACACATACACACACAAATATAGACAAAAATGAATAAATATGCAAATAAATAAACTTAAGGGGTGAGAGGAATCTATACCATTTCTGCTGACAATGAAGAAATCAAGGCCTCTTTCATAATATTTCAGAGGACCCAGTTGCAGGGCTGGAATTTGCATTGCCGGTCACTAACTGAGGGCTCCTGGAACCACTGAGGTCTGCTTTCTTCCAGCCCTGTATCCTCTGTACTGTGGGCACTACTCTCCCTTACAAATGCCCCAAGTCATCAACATGCTCTGTGAACCCGAAGTGGCTTGCAGATGTTAGAAGGGGGCAGTGCCAGCGACCGGTGGCAGGTCGCACTCTAAGGCTCAGTGTGAAAACCCTCAGCAAGTGTCTGACCTCCACAAGCATCCTTCACCCCTATCCTGTGGTGTGGCTGAGGACTGAGATCAAAAAGCAAGCAGGACTCCTTTGGTACCTCCCTGACTGCATGCTTATCCTCTCAGTAGGTCGGCCTGCCCTCTGCAGAATGTGTATGCACTGAGATCTCCATAGGCGCTGCCCCATTCTCACCTGCCCATCTTTTTGGACGAGGAAGAGGAAGAGGAAGAGGAAAAGGTCTTGGTTTGGACTGTGGTGCTGCTGCTGCTGCCATCTGTGGGAAAGGGAGTAAGGTGAGGACGTGGGCTGGATGGGAAGAAATGGGAGAGGCTGCCTGGGAGGGATGATGATAGCCACAGTAGAGAAGTGAAAATGAGGACCCAGTTGAAGACAGAGTGTTCAAGGAAGAACTTAAGGAGGTGAGCAGGCAGGCAGGCAGGCAGGCACAGGAGAGAGCAGGTGGCCTTACTCTCAGAGCGCCTCACGAAACTCGACTCCACCGTGGTGGTGCGGGCTGTCTGTGTGCCGTCATCTGGAGGGACAGGAAATGAGACAAAGAAGTGTGTGAAAGGCACTGGGAATTGCTCTGAGCTCTCCCTGAGCCCCAAGCCCTGCTCAGCCTCTTACTGGAGTGGACGAGTCGCTCAGTTTTGGTGACTGTGCTAACAGCTGAGCCATCAGCTGCTCGCTGACTGTGCCTTGTGGTTGTCTCTGTGGCCGTATTGCTTCGGCTCTCTCCTGGCCGGGCCCGTGCCTCCCGTAGTCGCTGTTCTCGTTCCCTGTCCCTCTGGTCTGGGCAGGGGATGCCCCATGCACGCCAAGAAGGGCCGCCCAGTGCCACACAGCACACATGCACAGACACCAGGGGAACATAGGATGGAGTGGAGGCAGCTTATTAGAAACACCAAAGGCACAGGAAACCAGTGCCTCTCTAGGGACGCTTGAAAGTAGGGGAACAACTTGGCACACAGCTAAGTGTGTGGTGAGTGTGATGGACTCTGCAGATGGAAGAGGGAATATAGAACAGCTGACATCAAAGGGGTATTTGGACTCAAAACAAGTTTCTATGGGAATAAGCAGCTGAGTCAGGAGGGAATAGTTACATCCAGAGGTGGACAAAGCAGTTGGACTTTCAAACTAGTCTTAAGGAGGAGGGGAGCAACTGGAAGAAGGATACCTAGACCCAGGGCTGGGCAAAGGTATCGGAAGAAGCAATCAGATCCCGGGAAAGAACACTGGAGAAAGAAGCTTGTGGAGAGGGTTAACGGTCTGCAGAAAAAGTACGTAGGCCGGGAAGAGGGGACATCAGGGCACATGTAGCACAGTGGTGGGGTGCTTGCTGGGGATGCATGAGGCATTTGACTGCCAGCTGGGAGTGGGGCGGGGTGGGGGAGTAATTGTTCTCAGAGAACAACTGTTCCAGAAGTAAATCTAGAGTATGAGGCAGAGAGGAGCCAAATCCAGGGAAGAAGCACAGGAGAGGGAAATAGCCACAGATGGGGCAGAGGCTAAGAGAGGCAACCCAGGCGAGAGGAGCAACTGGAGGATTATCTGGATTGAAGCAGGCGCACTCGACAGTGGGTAGCAATTGGATGCAAGGTGAGAAGGGCCAAGGGGAGTGACTGGGAATGTACAGCTGGACACAGGGCAGGGAGTCCAGGGAACAGATGGCTCCAGGGAAGGTGACACGAGGAGGGCAACTGCTGAGCTGGAGTGTCCATGAAAGGACTCCAGAAGGAGGGGCGGATCTGAGGAGTGGAGTGGCTAGATCTAGGTGGGCAAATGGCTCTCTACCTCTCTTTCTTTGTCGGAGCTCACGGAGTGCAGCCCGGATGAGCTTCCGCTCCTCAAAGTTCGTAGTCTGGTCCAGCTGTAGAGGAAACGGTCACTGCATATCTGGGGCTTGTCCATCTCTACCCTCTGCCAGCCCCCAGGCTACCAGAGCTAACATACCATCTTGTCCAGAACTCCTTCATCCTCAATGGCCATCAGCTCATCGGCACTCAGGGGGCCCCGCTCCTCTGGGGCTTTGTCCACTCGAGTCTGCTCGGTGCCGTTAGCTGCTTCCACTGTTGCAGTGGGGGGCTCTGCTGGATCTGGCTCCATCTACAGAGTGTGAAGAGGGTGTAGGGTTTATGCAGGCATGTGGGTGAAACCTGGGTGGGAGTGGATTGGATCCTGGGGCTTCAGGCATAGCACTGGAAAAATAACCAACAGCCTGCCAGGCCTGCTAATATAGGTTGGCTATGCTGGTTTCAGGCCCACTGTTTGTGAAACTGGCAGCCTTGTATAGAGTTTCCCACACATCCAGAATCGTATTAACCCAAATTGGTAGCAGTAGTAACAATGGTTTCCATTCAGTAGAAAATAACTGTATAAGCACTGGGGATTTTATTGTCCCTGTTAGACAGAGGGGAAACTGAGGCTGTACCCTCTGTGAGTGTAATATGACCCGGAGGCTGCAATAGTTTAACTCCTGAACTTGAGTTCTTTCTTGTTTCATTTCTGGCTTTCCCTCCAGGCAGGACAGATCCCAAGTCTTGATTGCCAAGGGACTGGACCAGGTTCCAAGGGCTCCTAACAAGGTGGCTGACTGGGGCTACCCCAAGCCAAGATGTCTTTAAAGCTCCATACCACTTCCCTCCTTTCCCCACCTTGCTGGAATCCAGCATCTAAGGGGCATCCAGCACTGATCCATCTTCCCCAGGGGAACTCCCTCCCACCTCGCCCCTTGAAGGGAAGGCCTAGCTCAGCTACTACAGCCCTCCCCTCCTAGCAGGGCCTCTGTCCATCATGAGGGTAGGCAGAGCCAAGGTGGCAGCTGCTCTAGAGAGGCTTGGCCTAACTGAAGTTGCAGGACAGATGCCAGGGTAAAAGCCTGGCACCTTCTTGCCCCAATCTTAGAGTACTAGTGCCTAGTCCTACAGTGAGGTAAACTGAGGCTAAGACAGTGTTGGTCTATCTACAGACACTCAGCAGAGCTGAGCTCAAATCAAGTCCCTCCCACAGGCTGACTTACGAGACTGCTGCTGCGAGAGGGGCCTGCAGAGGAGCTGCGGCGGGTGCTAAAGGCAGGCGGGTGGGCCACAGGGGCCCCAGCATCCTCAGCTGCCTGGAAGAGGGCCTCAGGGTCCGCAGCAGCCAGCAACAGCTCACTGGGCTCTAGCTCAGACTCCAGGTCTGGCACAAGTGGAACACCCAGCCGCAGGCTCAGCACCTCCACCTGCCTGGTCAGTGTGTCTAGCCGCCGGCTCAGAGCTGCTGTCTCTGCTCGAAGCTCTTCAGCTGCCTGAGCCACTGGCTCTACAGTGGCTAAGGGC